TCTCATCTTCTAACTGTCAATTTCAACACATTTTATAGATATTTTATCTTATTTAAGTGGATTAGTTATTTAGGTGAATCTATATATTTTACATATAATGAAGTAAATTTAATTAATATTTTTAATTTCTCAAGCATAAGATTGTCTTCCACATTGATTTGGACAAAATTTACAAATCTTTAAATTAAAATAAAATATAGAATTTATTTTAAATTATACTATTATTTTTACTTTATGTTTTACTTTATATTTATTTTCATTCATACAATTTTTTTAAAAAAAAAATTACAAAACTAAAATTTACACAAACACATATCTCCTTTTTTTTCTTTTTTTAGTATATACATATTTATTTCAATAATATAAAATAAAAAATAAATATTGATTCGAACAAAAGTCAAAAATAAAAATCCAAGTACTTATTAAATTAGTCAAAATTAAATGTTATTTAATAATTAACTAAATTATGCTAATTAAAGGATACTAAGACATTAAATTTTTTATAAACAAATTATTCTTTGAATTAATTCATTTTATATTTTTCATTTAAAAAATGTAAAATTTATTTCATCCTATTGCATATAATATGTTTTAGCATACATGTTACGGTTAATTTCATACATATATTATAAAGATCCGGAATCTTAAAAAAAATAAATTTATAATTTAAATACGGAAGCGAAAAATAGAGTTAGAGTTTATATTTTTTATAAAATAATTTACAATGTCCAATAAAAATACGAGAATGTCCATTATAAAGGTCAAATGGTAATTAAAAACAAAATGAATAAATAAAAATCATAAGACAATCTTCACTAGCACTTGAAGAGAGTCCGGGTGGTGAACTACTCACAATCCTCTTACTAATCGGAATTTAGGCGAGCTACACTAATCCTTTTTATTTTTACGCATAAGAGAATAAGTGACGATAACTTTCATTTCTTAACTGGTTATTGGTACATCTGGGAGACCATAGGGATATCCGCCTACTGGTGAACCTAATAGGGAATTTAAACAGGTAACCGGTCGTGCGCCAAACATTTTATTGCCTCGATACCCCGTTCAGTATGAGTGTGAACCATGTCTGTCAAACTTTTCCGATAAGAGACTTCCTAGGCCCGTTCGGGTAAGTCAACGTTGACAGTATAGTTTCCTATGTACTGGGCCCGTCCACCATTTTCCTGGGTACCCAGTAAGTCTTTTACATAAATATTCTCATCAACAAAATAACCAACCAGGCATACCATTATCTCATATTACATTTACAGATCAATTAAACTATATTCATACTAGCGGTATATAACCGAATAAACCAGATAAATTGATAAGGTTATAAAAAATATAAATTAAG